CCAGTCGCCATACCCTGCCGGTACTGGTGCTCGCTATCAGCCCCGTTCAGCCAGCGAGGCTGGCAGTGGTACCCGATAACTTCCCCATCTACCGGAGGCATTGGAAACTACTTGGGCGGGAAACTTTCTGCCTAATTTTGCGTGCCGTAAATCTATGACACGGGAATTTTTCCGCCCTTAAAAATTCCACTACCTCCGCCGGGTTTGAACCCGCGTACCTTGAGTCATGAGGTGGGAACGTTACCCCTAGACGAGGCCGCTTAGCGCTGAGATGGTTCCTACTTTATATTTCTTGCGTAATTTTTTTTTATCCAGACGGCCTGAAACCTTCCAATGTATAACACATAACTCCCACTTCTATTTCCCTTAACGAATCACTAACTCCATGGAGTTGAGTCCTTTTTGAGAAGCTGCCGTTTGCGCAGCTGCTTAAGAATTTCCAGACAACTTATGGAACCCGAAGGTTGATTATAGTGTTCACAAGAGCCCTCCACTGGTCTCTATCCTGAGACACATCAATCCAGTCCATACCACCCCATCCTATCTCTCTAAGATATATTTTAATATTACCCGCCATATACGTCTTGGTCTTCCTAGACGTCTCTTTCTTCCTGGCTTTACCATCAAAATCCTATATGCATTCTTCTTCTCCTGACGCATGCTACATGCCCTGCCCATTCATCCTAGTTGACTTGATCATTCTAATTATACTTGGCGAAAAGCACAAGTTATGAAGCTCTTCATTATACAATTTTCTCCAACCTCCTGTCACTTCACCCCTCTTCGGTCCAAATATTCTCCTCAGCACCCTGTTCTTAAACACTCTGTCTATGTTCGTCCCTTCATGTCAGAGACCAAGTTTAATATCATACAAAACCAGACGCAAACTACGATTTGTCACTTCATTGTAGGTGTCTGCAATATCTCGGCCCGAAGGTGAACACACAAATCACACGAGAGCTAGGCCCCAAACATTTGGAACCGGGCCAGTTATGTCCTAAAGAGGCTGGGGCCCCGATTCAGTGGTGGACATAAGAACGAACTAACATGCTGACTGAAGGACTGAACAAGTGCGTAAGCAAGTGCGAATAAATTTCTTAGAAAATATCACCTGTTCATTTAAAGTGCAGTGGTTACAGTACGCAGCACCTGGCCTAACGTTATGAAACTCAGCAACTTTCCCACATATCGCGTTTATGTGTTTCATGCTACTCCCAGAATAAGCAGAGATTACTTCCTTAAACAGAATTAATCAGCTGGTTTAGTAATAGAGACGCAGGGAGATTTCTGTAAAGCAGGAATTTAATTTTCAAATATTATTCAGATAAACTTCAGGCAGCAAAAGTTTCAAACATTACAGATTTGGCGGGTTAGTGTTTACAAATCCATGTTTGAGAGATTTTGAATCCCAGTGTTTAAACAGGGCAAACAGAGAGCAGAGTCTGCTCCCACAGTCGAGGCAAGAGTAGGACAAAGAAGCAGAATTCTGGGTAAAACACATCCCGCGCGGGAGAACAGAAATGGAACCAGCACATAAGTAGAACGGAGGGCGATCGCATGCGGAGAACTATATAGAAAGGAGCGAGAACTGTAGTTTGAAGTCCCTTGTATGTCTTCATGCCGTGGTGCATGGGAAAGTTTATGCAGCACACCAAGAGGCAGACGTTATGGGAAGAGAGTCCAGAAGCGGGCAATACCATCTAAACATTATAATCAGAAGAAGAGGAAGATGATGATGGTGATGATGGAGGAGGAGGAGGAGGAAGAGAAGAAGATGATGATGAAGGAGGAGATGTTGATAATGATGATGATGATGGNAAGGAGGAGATGTTGATAATGATGATGATGGAAAAGGAGGAGGAGAAGAAGAAGACGAAGAAGAAGAAGAAGAAGAAGAAGGTGATGTGGTGATGACGATGAAGGAGGAGGAGGAGGAGGAGGAGATGATGATGATGAAGAAGGAGGAGGAGAAGAAGATTGTGGTGGTGGTGGTGGTGGTGATGATGATGGAGGAGGAGGAGGAGGAGGAGGAGGAGAAGATGGTGATGATGGAGGAGGAGGAGAAGATGGTGATGATGGAGAAGGAGGAGGAGGAGGAGGATAAGAAGATGGTGGTGGTGATGGAGGAGGAGGAGAAGATGGTGATGATGGAGGAGGAGAAGAAGAAACAGAAGGCGGAAGAGAAAACTTATAAATATAATAAAGTGAGAATAATGTATAAAAAACTAGAATAAATGGAGCTTTGGTCCAGCGCCCCCTGTGCGCCCTCATAATATGCTGCTTGGCAACGTTTACAGCAGAATGTAAGAGGAAGCGTGAAGCACAGTCGAAAATGAACGGGAATATGAGATCTAAACTCGGGGCCGGGTATATTTACAGCTTGCATCAAGAAGAAGAAAAGAGGAGAGAAAGGGGTATAAGAGGGGAGGAGAACATGACTAATAAGAAGACAGCGAGATGAACTGGACTTCCTTCTGTCATCTGTCCAGCGTCGCTCAGAAAAGGGCGCGACCAATCCCCTGTTGACCGCAGGGGCGTCTCCTTGCGCTATATAAGGCAGGCATACACACATTCTCATTTACCAATGTTTGTCCGTCTTCAGAGTAACTACCTAAGAATATAAAGCCTTTCGTATCAGCTTAAAGGAAGGTTCTACTGCAATATTTACTGAATCTCACTAATTTGCAATGAAGCGGTCAGTGTTTCCACACACCCACGCAGCAAATTGTTCCCTGAAGTTTTCACTGCCACTGATATAAACTCCATAACAAAATCATTAAATATAAAACAAGTTCGTGGAACTATCCCGATTCTAACACAATAACAGTCACACTTTGGTACCACCATAATAAAAGGAACGCCAAGCCTGGAGTTACGAACGAGTCTAGAGGCTGCTTCGTATTGGGAATGTAGCACAAGTAATGCTGGCAACCCAACGATCGAAAAAAAAAAAATACTCCACGGAATAGAATCCTTCCTCGAGAAGCTAACAGTTGCTCAGCTAGTCATGCTCGGCATTTTATGGAACTCAAAAGTTCATTACTGTGTTCACAGACCCTCGAGAAGCTAACAGCTGCTCAGCTAGTCATGCTCGGCATTTTATGGAACTCAAAAGTTCATTACTGTGTTCACAGACCCTCGAGAAGCTAACAGCTGCTCAGCTAGTCATGCTCGGCATTTTATGGAACTCAAAAGTTCATTACTGTGTTCACAGACCCTCGAGAAGCTAACAGCTGCTCAGCTAGTCATGCTCGGCATTTTATGGAACTCAAAAGTTCATTACTGTGTTCACAGACCCTCGAGAAGCTAACAGCTGCTCAGCTAGTCATGCTCGGCATTTTATGGAACTCAAAAGTTCATTACTGTGTTCACAGACCCTCGAGAAGCTAACAGCTGCTCAGCTAGTCATGCTCGGCATTTTATGGAACTCAAAAGTTCATTACTGTGTTCACAGACCCTCGAGAAGCTAACAGCTGCTCAGCTAGTCATGCTCGGCATTTTATGGAACTCAAAAGTTCATTACTGTGTTCACAGACCCTCGAGAAGCTAACAGCTGCTCAGCTAGTCATGCTCGGCATTTTATGGAACTCACAAGTTCATTACCGTGTTCATAGACGCCCGCCGGTGGTTCCGGTGACAAGCCGAGTGTATTCAGCTCACTGCCTCTCACCATATTTCCTTAATATACATTTTAATATTATCCTCCTACCTACATGCTCCGACCAACTTATCCTCCTTGATTTCATCCTTCTATGTCTGTATGTACGCGTGTAGTCCTTTCTCGCCACAAATGGCATAACCATTGGAAATGTACTTATCTTACTTTTGTCGTCTATTAATGATAAATTTAATTTTTCATGAAATTATTATTAATTTATTACTGTTATATAGATTGCATTATTTTGTATTTTATCTGTTAGTTATTTTTGTGTCATTCTACGTACTCGTGCTAACTTTGTAATTGGCCTCTGAGCTGTTAAGTTTGCACGTATGTAAACAGGAACTGAATTGAATTATTACTATTAATCTTTATCATTATCATCACCGTCATCACCATCTAGCAGGCAAGGATTATACCACTTCTTGACGCGTTCCAGCCCCATTCGTCCAGTGGTCTCATCAAAGATTGGTTCCTTATTCCATGTGGTTCACAACATCTTGACAGTTTGGCATGTCTGTTTCTTTTTTTCTGCTGACATCCTGAATACAGGTGGTCTTATATTCCAAACTGTTGTCCAGTATGGGTTCTGCTTCTTGCTTTTTTTGACACGCATTCATTTCTCCCGCTCTGTCCAAGTGTATTTTGTCGCTGATCTCATAAATTTCATTTCAGGGGCTGTGTCTGATTCTGTCATTAGTTTTCATGGTCCAAGCTTTCTCGCCCATACAAAAGAATCGGCAGAGAGCAACGATATTAAGAAAAATCCTTAAAAGGAAGAGATACAATGCTTCAGAATTCGAGAAGTTTTTTTTATTAGTCTTGTGCGCATGGATACGGATGCAGTAAGCAACTAATAGCATTCCCTTTTTTTGTGGGTCTGCGTGTTAAAGTCTAGCCGCTTAATTCTCTTTACTGACAATCGTACTGCTAGCGGTTATGCAAGACCTGCCAAGCTGTTTGAACACAATGAACAGATTTCTGTGCCCAACGAACGGAGTAAAAACTTCTAAAAATCGTCTATTCTGCACGCTTCTGCGGTCTCTAAACCTTATACAGTCTGTTGCACCTACTCTGTTGGTTCGCTCGCGGATTTCTTCTTGTCTTCTACCCTGAAGATGGAGGCGATATGTTTCTCCGAAATGTCGGTTAACACAATTTCTACGCGGTGCCACATCCCAGAAGACGGCTTTCTTCATAGTCACTGCCGTCAAAACCTCAAAACTTACTTATACGAATTATTTGCAGTAGCCTCTGGGGGAATCTGCCACCTCATAATGTCAGAACCTGTCTCTTCTCGGTCGAAAAATAGAACCTCTATCATGCACTGCGTAAAACTCACCGGAAGTGTCTGAGAGTTCCACATGCCAGCCCTGAGCTACCGATGCATTTCAGCCGCAGCGGACGACATCTGTAATAAAGAAAAACATAGTGAGATTTGAGATTATCACAATAATATAAACTTAATCTACTCTGAATCTTAATGCAGTGATTCCTCCGAAACGTCGCTATCTCTGGTCCTGTGAGATATGTTTGATATGTGGTGACGTCACGCAAGTGTCACACGGAGACACATGATTTCGTCTTAAAAAACCTCCGTGGCCTGTAGTCCGCAAGAGAACTCTACCGACCGAGCGAACGCGGCTTGTCGGCGAAGTTTCTAGACCGGAGCCGCTATTTCCTTGAAATAGCTCCTCCGTTATCATCACAGGGCTGAGTGGACCCCGTTCCAGACCCACTACTTCTCAGAAAATCTGGTAGAGCAGGGAATCGAACCCGGACCTCTGGATCTGTAGCCACGAACTCTGACCACTAGAGGCGGTCTTATTTCGTCTAAAGCACTAAAAATAATGCCTTAAAGTAGGTCTCAATCGATTCCTTACGCGTTTTTTTAACCAACAATCATGTTTGTTGCATGAGACTGTCCGCATTTCCGTTACCATAGGCCGACAGGACTGATGACGAAGACCGAAAATCTCCGAAACGTCGCATTATTACTCTTATATCGACGTGACCGATCACAGTCCAATCGCTCTCTGATGACGGAGGCTGAAGCGAGAAATAGAGGATTGTGACCATCAATACAACTATCTTTCTTGGCATAAGATACATGTATATTTATTATTAAAATTAATACTACCAAATCTTTCGATTAGTGTTGCTGATCTTCAGGTGGGAACTATACGTCAGAAATTTTTTTTTTAATTTTATTGCATTTCCCTGACATACTGAAAAATCTGAGTTCAGTTTTTCATTATCGCCTAACTAAACGCCTACTTTCCATTCACTACAATTTCAGTGTCTGACACGAAGAGCTGAAAAACGACTCTGCTATGAGTGCGTCATGAAGCCAATAAAGCAATACAATCTGAAGGGCTGCACTGTTAGTATTACTGATGACAGGAGTTTACGACGCACGCCGCTCAGATGGCCTCGGGTGGCATGATATACATACCAAGCTTCAGGACAATCCGTTCAGGCGTTCCTGTAATATTAAGGTTATTGCTTCAACAATTTAAGAGGCTGCGGTGTTGTTATTAATGACGGATGGGACTTCTGAAGTACGACATTGAGACGACTGCGGGGGGCAAGACATACATACGATGTTTTATGGCGATCGGTTCAGGCATTCAAGTAATCTTAAGGTTATTGCCTCAACATTGTAAAAGGCTTCAAAGTTGATATTACTAATGGGAGTGGCTTATGAAATACGCTGTTAGGATGACCTTAGGTGACACGATATACATTCCAGTTTTCATTAAGATCGGTTTAGGCGTTCAAAAGTTGTTAGGGGGGATAAACTTACAGACACATATACACAGATAGCAAGGTGATTTCATAAGCCTAGCTTTCTTTTTAAAAACAAGAAAAGTCGGCTAAAAATAATGTTACAGTGCAGCAAATGTGGTAAACTTAGTGGCTCTTAAAGACTGGAGCTTTTAGTCATCTTGAGAATTCGGCTATGTGTGACGTGTGCTAATGGATATAAACTTTAGTCTTTGTTTTGATATGGACGTTGTGCGCTTAATATGTTGCCTGCATGGCCTATTCTATTATACAGTGGCTATTATGTTTCAAATCATACCGTGTTCTTATTGGTGTTCTGCGTAGTGTTCCTGTGATTAGACTGATCATGATCACACAGCAGGATGCAGGAAACTAAGTTCACTGCATTCAGTCGCTGCGAAAACTTCAACTTCATACGCTTTTCAACTGTTATTTCACCTCTTTCAGAGTCATATACTCCCTCAGCACTCTCGAACCCTGGCCTGCCTGCCTTCCTTTAGCCGGAATGTAATGAATGTAATGTATAAAACACAAAAATTATTTCTCCACATTTTATTTTTTATAGTTTTTAAAAACTGCAATCTTAGGAAAAGTTTTATAAGCATCATGGATGTGTCATGTCACTTGATTTTCGTCAAGTGCATACTTAAATGGGGGGGGGGGTACGCGGTAGCGTAGTTTGTTGAGGCACCATGCTACAAGCCGGAAGGTCGAGGGTTCGAGTCCCGATGAGGTGGATTTTTCAATTGACCTAATACTTCCAGACGTACTATACCCCTGGGGTCGACTCAGTCTCTAACAGAAATGAGTACCAAGATTCCTGGGGGGGTAGCGGCCGGCGCGTAAGGCTGACAACCTCACCTCCATCTTTGAGCCGATTGTCTAAATAATGCGGGACCCTCAGCATCTCATAATCCTATGGGCCTCCATGGTCTGTTACAGGGATGGGTTTACATATTTAAGTACTTATAAATCCAACAGATATGAAGCAATATGTGGAGACGTTCAAAAAATAATTAAAGGTTTTGAAAAGAACGAAACTCAAATAACATGCTATAATGTACTGCCAGTCCTAATCTATGTGTTAAAAAGTTTAACTCATGTTTCAACAAAGGGAGGGACGAGTTCAAGATTAGAAGAAAAAGTTGAAGATTAAGGAGGAGGAGAATTAGAACACAGAACAGAGAAATGTGTTTGGAAGGCAGACAAGAAAATAAAATATTCCGAACTGACAGAAACGCTTCTTGGAAGTCCTCGGAAACCAGAATTCTACATCTACGAAAGCCACACTCTTCTGTCCCTGAGAATTCATGTTTTGTATGCTAATGGCAACAGCCGCTCCTTTATGAAAGACAAGTCTTATCTCGTTTGATTCATCCCTTCCGGAAAATTTAATTGGATTTCTTTAAACCGGTCGAAATTCTCTGCATGCAGTGCCCACTGGGAGCTGTAGGCAACTGAGTTGTTTATTGACTTAAACCGAAGTAGTCCCATAATTATCAACCGAAGACTTCCAGTATCGAGCTCCTACTTTCCAGCACCAGATTACAGCTTAGCGTATAGTTGCCCGGGGGAAGAAACAATGCAATTAATAGCATTGGTTAAATACGCAGTAAATCAAGCAACTACAAAAACTCCGTGGCCTGTAGTCCGCAAGCCAACTATACCGACCGAGCGACCGCCGCTTGTCAGCGAAGTTAGTGCTAAGTTTTGCGGATAGAGAGTGTCGCGTGGTCAGCGCAACGAATCCCCACGGCCGTTAATTTCGGTTTTCTAGACCGGAGCCTCTATTTCCTTGAAATAGCTCCTCAATTATCGTCACGAGGCTTAGTGGACCCCGTTCCAGACCAACTACTTCTCATAAAAAAAAAAATCTGGTAGCGCCGAGAATCGAACCCGAACCATGTATCTGTAGCCAGGAACTCTGGCGGTCGTAAGCAACACAAAACAAAATTCTAAGCTAACTTAACCCACGTTTGTTAGCAACAATTTCTTCACGTTACACTCACTGGTAATGCTGTCAAATCTTCATGTGAAAATGGGATGCATCAAACGAAAGACAGTCTGACATTACAGCAAAACTTACTTCACTTAAAATCTTTTAAATCTTGCTTCTCCCTTGTCATTTTGTCAAAAAGAGAAAGAAAAAGAGAAAATAGGAGAAGAAGAAGAAGGAAGACCCATCACAGTAAGAACAAAGCTTCCCCTTTTCCAAGAAGAGTATATTTATAGTTATGTACGTTTTATTATTATATTGTCACTTGTATCAGTGACTAAGACGCGGGTTTGGATTGGTAATTGGATTTATTAACCACCTACAGGTCGTAACTACAATTAATTATTACACTATTGCAGATTTACACACTACAAATCACTCCACACTAATCTTCCCAGTCTATTTCCACTAGTCTCCACTGTCCGTTTCCTGGCAACGGATTTATAACACAGGAACTGTAGAAGTCTCACTAAATCACACATTTCCAATATCACTGTGCTACAGCACACATAAATTCTTGAAATCATACGTTAAATCTTCACAGGCTTACTTCTTGTACTCTTCTGTACTCCTCCAGCTTACTGCTATCCTCTTGTTTGCGTGCCTCTGTCACTACTACTAACTCATAACTGCTCTGAACCCTCCTTAACTCTTATTCACATAGCCACGGTACGAACATGCATCACAGGAAACACATGTCACGTGATCACTACCTATTGTTGTGTGATGTGACCGCGGACACGGAAAACACAGCTTCCTCTATTGTTGCGTGTTGTACCGTGTTTACAGAGCTATTGCCTGGCAACGAGTTGATAAAATCCGTTACAATATTCATCATTAATGGACGTTCTTACGAAGTAAAATTTGTAATAATTTTCGATAATATGTCTCGGAAATCATTATATAAAACGATATAGTTTTATTGCCATAAATTCGATTACAATACAGAATTAATGAGAAGTTACGTCTACGTGTAAGTGAAAGCTATGTGACGGAATTAATTATCATGTTGGAGACCTCACGTTCAATCCAGCCGACTGTCAACTCTCACCAGTTGATCACAGTAGATCACGTCCTACCAGTTAACAAACAATGCTCTAAATCGTATGACAATCTTTCTCATAGAAACTTCTCCGAGTCAAGAAATATATACAGAGAGATCTTAGTATTTACCTTATTTATGTGGAATGAATATTTTCGTATGCACGAACTCATAATTTGTCATTATTACAAGTAATTCTGCAAGCTTGTTCATTACATACTTTTTCTATAGGAGACTTGCAACAGGTTTAATACTTACGTTTTATTCTTTGGAGCATACTGGTTACTATAAGAACGAATATCATCTGGTTCAACGTTAAAAAATCACTTTTCTTACGGATTTATGTCTTTCATGTGAATTTCAGAATAAACAGAGACAGTTTTCCTAAACAGCATTAACTGTCTGTTCTTTGTATTGGTGAGGTAACGTGTTTTGCTGTCAGGTAGGGACTTAACTTTTAAATATTGTCACGTGTTAGCGATTAGACACAGGGTTTAAATTGATAATTGGATTTACTGAACCCTTAATTATAAACAGTTATAAGAGTTTCACCTATTTACACACTCTAAAAATAATTACTGCAAAC